CTTTCCCTCCTTCCCCTTACCAGTATCGCTGTGCTGGCAAAATCTCCAGTATGAACGAAGCTGTGCCAACAGAATAAACTTCTGCCAGTTTATTTTATGTCATTCAGCATGGTGATTCAGCTTTGCCACTAAAAAGGAGGCTATGAGGAAGAGCCCCTTCTTGTGTAAGCAAGCTCTCAGATTTGGAAATGTAGCCAGAAGTCACTTTTGAGATTTTATTTTTTCTTTTTTTAAAGCAAAGAAGGTCTGCTGCCAAGCTCTGCTTAATTCAGTGAGAATTGCAGATAACATTTTTCCTGGAGGAAAAGGTCTAAAAAGGAGCCAGATGTAGAGACTGAACTATGAACAAAACACCCCGTAGAGCTATATACTAAGTAGTCATACAACTACATGTTTTACACTAGGCTGAGAGCTGGGAGGTTTGGGAGGCTTAACTGCTACACAGAATAAAGGGTAAGATAAATAAAAAAGATCTACTTACCAAACCAAGCTTGTTGTTCTCCTTGGACTTCTATAGCCAACCCAAAGTCTGCCAGTTTTACTGCTGCTCCCTTGGATTTGCTAGCTAAAAGTAAGTTCTCAGGCTTTATTCAGAGAGAGAAAAATTGATATGAAAAGATAAGTAAATATATTTTAGACAGCTTTTCACTTTCTTTTATTTAATTAAGGCAGTCTAGAAAAGAACAATCACTTAGAGAAGAGAAAAAAGACATGCACTTTCTACATTAAAAAAACCCCTGCACTTTCCATTCCTACTTGGGAAGGACCACCAGGCCTGTAAATGGTCTTCACCCTGTAAATGGTCTTCACGAAGGCTAAGGGCAACGTGCAGACCTGCTAAAGAACTATGTAGGCCGGAATGGTCATATGGAATTGTAAATCCTGTTTGAGCAATAGAACAATTCAGAGAGCATCTAATAGTTCACTACCAGAAAAATGCTGCAGAAAAAACCCCAAAGAGAGATTCTGCATCTGATAACTAGCTTAACTTACGCAGTTTGCAGGATTAGGTAACTGCAACTGTCAAATGAACAGAGTATAAACGTGTTTTCCATCACAGCTTAACAATAACATTCATATTTTTATGTTTGTATTTAGAGTGCAGGTGTATTTAGAGTCCAAATTTTTCATCAAAAGCAGCATGCCCACATTTGTGCTTGCACAGAACCCAAAACAAATACCATTTTTTGAAGTTGAAAATAAATTTGCAAAGAATTCCACTTTACTCTTTTTTAGGGTACGTCAGTCACATCTGAAATCAAATGCTACACTACATTTATGTAGTTAAAAAGCAAAGAATTTGAACACTACCAATGGTGTTCGTTCTAGCGTTCATAATGTATCCTTCAAATGTCATTCAGCAAATACACTAAACATGAACTATCTAAAGATAACCTTATTCTTTGAACTTTAACCTTTTTCATAACTTAAAGAATACTTTAAGGTCCAACATGTAATTTCAGAAAACTGTGAGCTCCACGAGCTTTTCTTGGCATTTCTTTCTTTCCCATCTCCTTTATTTTCAGAAAATGGTTTTGTTTCATATTTACCTAACAACAAAACCTCTGTTTCAAAGGCATTGCTGTGACTTTTCTGCGAGCAATTTTTGTAGTGGTATAGCCACAAGGGAATTCACTATATCCAGACTGGCACTGGGGACCCAATCCTGCAAAACCTTAAACCCATATTTCATTTTAAACCCAGTAGCAATCATATAAGCTTCCAAGGGACTATTCATGTGATTACAGTTAATCCTGTGCAGGTACTGATCTTGGGAACAATTAAGAGTATAAGCTTCTTTGGGCAAAGACTATCTTTAATACACCTGCCAAGTATCCAGCAAAATATGCTTGAACCTAATTAGGACTTCTTTAATTAAGAACTTTTATTAGTTAACAATACTACTGGTCCAGATAATATCTTTAGTGTAAAAGAATTTCTTTCCCTCTCTCTCCTCAAACTGTAAATGAACATTTTTTCAATTTGCAAACACTGAAAATATTGAGACTGATAGGTGCAGGAAATGACAAAATAGAACGCTACAACAACTACATGTGCATTTCTCCCTTCCTAGTTCAAAATAAAAATCTTTTTTACCCTTCATAAAGAAATGTTTGAAGTAAAGGAGAATGAAAATCATTCTCTCATTCATCCCTATCATGCTATATCATAAAAAAGTTTGCATCATAAAGTTTGTGTTAAAAAGCTGTCACCAATAATTAAAAAAGCCGTCACCAGTAAATACCAATAATCTCACCTCATCGATGATTTTATACCACATTTAACAAATAAAAATTAAGCTTTCTCAGAATAAAATTTAATCTTTATATTCTCTTATATTATTAGTAACAAATTCAACCACATTATACTGACCACTGAACAAACAGCTTAGGATTCTTCTCTAGCTTTATCAATAGTCATTTAAGCAATGTCACAATGTTTGCCACTTAACCAAATCTATTTCAATATACGGTCACATATGCTCTTAAAGGTTTTCTATCACAGTAAGAGTTAAGTTTACAGTAATTACTTCCTAGAATGCACTACTTATATAAACCTCTTGAAAGTAATGGCTGATCCTATTTGGCTGTGACCTTCAGCAGTCCAAAAGCAGTGAAACGCCACACTCTCTTGGCTGAAACACAAGCACTAATCTGTCAAGCACGTATCACTTTGCAATGCACAATTCTATTTAAAATAGTTTTTTTGGTGTTTTATGTGGAAGGGTTTTTTCTTGTTGGTTGGTTTGGCTTCTTTCTACTCCATTACATGTCTTTAACATGCTCTACCATTGTCATAATATAAATATGTTTCAAAAGAAAATAAAGCAGATTAACTGATTTACCCTGCCAAAAGATAGCAGCCTTTTGGGTAATGGTGTCGGGGACCATGCCCTTTAAAAAACACAGCTGTTCCTTCAGGATGATGAGAAACACCCTAGATAAATATCACGCATGAACTCAGAAAGACTGCAAGGACTTGGAAAACCCTAAGAGCCCAACCAGGGTCACTCAGGACCCACAGTTTGGATTGGACAGCGTCACCTTGTGCTACTGGGAGACTGGCTGCAGTCACGCATGTAGAATGGCAGTGTTAACTAATAAAATTACTTGTGAATAAATTAACATGATTTACGCCTTACTGTTCTGAAGTTCTTTATTCTTAGAGATTAAGTATTTATGCCTCTATATTTTTCCTTGAATGCATCTGGTTTTTAATTTAACCATTTAACTTCAATAGGAAATGCAAGAGGGTTGTAATCACACAGTATCACAAAAGAAGCAATGCTGCTGACTGCCAGGAATTGAAATTCTTACATGAAAGTGCACTCCTACCATCTGTTAAAGACAGACAGGTTAGTTTTTTTCCGGATCTAGGACCCATCACCATTGTGACTTGTATCAAGAATTACAAACAAGGCTGTTTTGCAGGTCATAAGAGGCTGCAAAAGCTCCTGTTTGCTATTAAACCACACTGACAGGCAAGTTAAATAAAATCAGACTGTCCAACCCTAAATCGCCTCCCTCCTTCCCCTTCCCACCCCCAAACATGTCGTCAGATCGTGATCTGAGTTACTGGAAAAAATCCATCAGGTTTTGGGGCAGTTTAGGTATTCACGACCATCTTTTATACGTCTCGTAGTTTTGGTCCCACGCCTTTGCATCTTCTTTTCTGTACATTCTCCAAGCATCTCTGTGCAGAGAGTTATGCAGGTTGTTTATCACAGTCTTTCATTTCACTCACTCCTTTTTTTCCTTGCTACAATGCGGTAACCAAAGAAGGATGACATTCTGTTTCCTGAAGTTTTCACTTTCAGAAATGAAACTAGGTACTATAGCTTGGCAGAAATAGAATTTTCTCACCGTTTCCAATCAATTCTGGAATTGCCAGAATAAGAAATCCACACATTGTTTGGAGCACAGGTAACAGCTGGATTTAATGCAAGTCTGATGAAAAAGTTGTTTTGTATGAATGTATGAAAGCTACTAGAAAGCACTCCTTATTCTGTCAGTTTACATGGCCACAATCTAGTCTTTTTAATCCCTTTTCATGCTAGAAGCACAGCAGTGTGTGTACAGTGAGGAAAGGAATCTTTAGAACAGCAGGACGAATTTGACATCCTTTCATTTAAACTCGTTACGTGTTATGCAGCTGCCTTGCGGGATATATACACTGGATGGAGACTTGCCGTTCTGATATTGTACAAGTGTGACACAAAAAAATCCAGAGGCATAAAATAGATAGAAAATCTTGTTTGTGCCTTTGGAAAGCGTCATGTCCTCTAAGCTTTCAGAGCGTAACCCTTTAAGATAACGTAGGACAATGATGAAGACTTTTATAAGCTAACACAACTACTATAACACTGTCTTCTCTGGGATGAAGGATGGCAAGAAAGAAGATAGCATTCCGATCCCAGCATCATTACTAATGATAAACACTTGAAAACTCGTGTCTTGAGAGGAAATTCCTGCTTCCTGTAACTCATTCGGAAAGGAAAATAAGAGGCAGAGAAGCTGTGCCAGAAACTATTAGCACGTTTCACTGCCTTAGCCAACATGCCATTTTTTCCCTGCTTTGGTAAAGGACCTCATTTCAGATAGTAAGTTTCCATTTGCTTTCAACATGAACAATCTTCTTTACTTGAGATTCTGAAGCCCAGGTGCCCAAATTAAGTACTCTCCTTTATCCACCAAGATAGTTTACCACAAGGTCTGAGAGAAAAAATTGTCTCCCTGAGCTTTCCAGGAAAAGAAAATGAACTTCACTTGTTTCTTTCCATACTTTAAATGCAGGAAGTATTTCTGCAGCAGCAGTCTCCAGTCAGTTGGGAATTAACACACTTAAGAAACAGGTAATATGCTTTTCAGCACAGGAGTTTCCTTCCGAAGCTTCTGTTTCAGTAGTAGCATTCATCTGGGAGGAACTCAATTCCTTGGGAACACACATGTTAAGAACAGTGTGGGAATTCCAGCTCTTTAAAGATATTTGATAGCCAGCCATCTGAACAGGAGCCGGAGGAGAGACAGGTTTTTTTAACCAGCAGTCTCCTAGCCTCTGGCTTCTCATCACTAAAGTATGTGACTTGGAAACCTCGGTGTGCTTCCCAGAAGCATGTCAAGTCACGTTGACGCAAGAGCCAAAGCCCCCTACCCAGAAAGCTCTGCATGACAGAGGGGAAGATTGTGTATTTAACAAATACACCAAATACTTGAAAAGTAACTACTGCTTTCCCTGGTACTGACAAATGAAGATGACAGCAGACTGAGACGGCCGGGTCTTGCACAGGCCAGATCAGGGCAGTTAGGTATTGGCAGGCCAGAAGCCTTCAGTGGATTTTCTCCAGTGAATCCCAGGAGTTTGTTCTGGCGTACAGATGAAGCAAACGGGGGAAAAAAAGTTTACATTTCAACTGAGCACGGCTCTTTACTTTAGGGCTCTCTGCTCTGGCACTGAACAGCAGGCCTGGGACGAGCGAAGGCGGACGCTCCGGCTGGGGAAGGCTCCGAAGAGGTGGAGGCAGGGGGCCG